ACTCCTGGTTTTATGGAGAGGTGATTATTATCTGATTATTATCTGATTATTGACTGATGATGCCTGGCTGTAAACTGGCTATGTAATGTGGTCGTTTTTAAAAGTTTAACAACAGTGACAGAGATAACACGGAGCTCACAAATTTGTCTCTCTATCTCTCTCTCTCACACACACACACACACACACACACACACACACACACACACACACAAACAAACTCTTAGTTGCTAACACACTCAACACACTTTTTTGAATCAGCTCTGTCAACTGTAAAAATACAAATCTAAACAATAATTTCCCTCTTAAGGTCATTACAGTTTTACTACCACATTCACATTGTAAGTTTTTCCATGTGGTAATACAGTCTTTAGTTTCAGTGACAGCGGGCTGAACACACTGATAGATGTCCACCAGAGAATGAATTGGAGAGAGGGAGATACACAAGAAGGTGTTAACTTATTTTTAGCCACTGAAATGTGTAGAAGAGAAGATCGGGATGGGGATGCATCAGGGGAAGATAATGACAGGGAGAGAAAGAGAAGAAAGAAAGATAGACGTTTATTTTTAAAGCCAACTGTTTTGCGTTGAATGAAAAGATACACTGTTAATTGGGGAGGGAGTTGGAGAGTGGAGAAAGGCAGAGGGGACGTACATTTGATGGGACATCAGGGGTATATATATATATATATAGAGTCGCTTAGATTGGCATTGGATGATGTCATAACAGATTTATGAACAATATGTTTGTTGTTTGGGATTCTGTGTTTTTATATATATTGATTACTATTTTTCAATGTTACTGTCAGGTGGATGGATTATCTTGACAAAGGCTAACATTCTCACTAACAGGGATTTAAACAAATTTGTGCACAACATTTGAGAGAAGTAAACTTTTTGTGCGTATGGAAAATTTCTGGGATCTTTTATTTCAGTTCACAAAACATGGGACCAACACTTTACATGTTGCATTTATATTTTTGTTCAGTGTATATATATATATATATATATATATATATATATATATACAGTGGGGAGAACAAGTATTTGATACACTGCCGATTTTGCAGGTTTTCCTACTTACAAAGCGTGTAGAGGTCTGTCATTTTTATCATAGGTACACTTCAACTGTGAGAGACGGAATCAAAAACAAAAATCAAGAAAATCACATTGTATGATTTTTAAGTAATTAATTTGCATTTTATTGCATGACATAAGTATTTGATCACCTACCAACAAGTAAGAATTCCGGCCCTCACAGACCTGTTCGTTTTTCTTTAAGAAGCCCTACTGTTCTCCACTCATTACCTGTATTAACTGCACCTGTTTGAACTCGTTACCTGTATAAAAGACACCTGTCCACACACTCAATCAAACAGACTCCAACCTCTCCACAATGGCCAAGACCAGAGAGCTGTGTAAGGACATCAGGGATAAAATTGTAGACCTGCACAAGGCTGGGGTGGGCTACAGGACAATAGGCAAGTAGCTTGGTGAGAAGGCAACAACTGCTGGCGCAATTATTAGAAAATAGAAGAAGTTCAAGATGACGATCAATCACCCTCAGTCTGGGGCTCCATTCAAGATCTCACCACATGGGGCATCAATGATCATGAGGAAGGTGAGGGATCAGCCCAGAACTACACGGCAGGACCTGGTCAATGACCTGAAGAGAGCTGGGACCACAGTCTCAAAGAAAACCATTAGTAACACACTAAGCCGTCATGGATTAAAATCCTGCAGCGCACGCAAGGTCCCCCTGCTCAAGCCAGCGCATGTCCAGGCCCGTCTGAAGTTTGCCAATGACCATCTGGATGATCCAGAGGAGGAATGGGAGAAGGTCATGTGGTCTGATGAGACAAAAATAGAGCTTTCTGGTCTAAACTCCACTCGCCGTGTTTGGAGGAAGAAGAAGGATGAGTACAACCCCAAGAACACCATCCCAACCGTGAAGCATGGAGGTGGAAACATCATTCTTTGGGGCTGCTTTTCTGCAAAGGGGACAGGACGACTGCACTGTATTGAGGGGAGGATGGATGGGGCCATGTATCGTGAAATCTTGGCCAACAACCTCCTTCCCTCAGTTAGGGCATTGAAGATGGGTCGTGGCTGGGTCTTCCAGCATGACAACGACCCGAAACACACAACCAGAGCAACTAAGGAGTGGCTCCATAAGAAGCATCTCAAGGTCCTGGAGTGGCCTAGCCAGTCTTCAGACCTGAACCCAATAGAAAATCTTTGGAGGGAGCTGAAAGTCAGTATTGCCCAGCGACAGCCCCGAAACCTGAAGGATCTGGAGAAGGTCTGTATGGAGGAGTGGGCCAAAATCCCTGCTGCAGTGTGTGCAAACCTGGTCAAGACGTACAGGAAACGTTTGATCTCTGTAATTGCAAACAAAGGTTTCTGTACCAAATATTAAGTTCTGCTTTTCTGATGTATCAAATACTTATGTCATGCAATAAAATGCAAATTAATTACTTAAAAATCATACAATGTGATTTTCTGGATTTTTAGATTTTTAGATTCCGTCTCTCACAGTTGAAGTGTACCTATAATAAAAATTACAGACCTCTACACGCTTTGTAAGTAGGAAAACCTGCAAAATCGGCAGTGTATCAAATACTTGTTCTCCCCACTGTATATATATAGTACCAGTCAAAAGTTTGGACACACCTACTCATTCCAGGGTTTTTCTTTAATTTTACTATTTTGTACATTGTAGAATAATAGTGAAGACATCAACACTATGAAATAACACATATGGAATCATGTAGTAACCAAAGAAGTGTTAAACAAATCAAAATATATTTTATATTTGAGATTCTTCAAAGTAGCCACCCTTTGCATTGATGACAGCTTTGCACACTCATGGCATTCTCTCAACCAGCTTCATGAGGTAGTCACCTGGAATGCATTTCAATTAACAGGTGTGCCTTCTTAAAAGTTAATTTGTGGAATTTCTTTCCTTCTTAATGCATTCGAGCCAACCAGTTGTGTTGTGACAAGGTAGATGGGTTATACAGAACATAGCCCTATTTGGTAAAAGACCAAGTCCATATTATGGCAAGAACAGCTCAAATAAGCAAAGAGAAACGACAGTCCATCATTACTTTAACACATGAAGGTCAGTCAATAACAAACATTTCAAGAACTTTGAAAGTTTCTTCAAGTGCAGTCGCAAAAACCATCAAGCGCTATGATGAAACTGGCTCTCATGAGGACCACCACAGGAATGGAAGACCCAGAGTTTTCCTCTGCTGCAGAGGATAAGTTCATGAGAGTTACCAGCCTCAGAAATTGCAGCCCAAATAAATGCTTCACAGAGTTCAAGTAACAGACACATCTCAACATCAACTGTTCAGAGGGGACTGTGTGAATCAGGCCTTCATGGTTGAATTGCTGCAAAGAAACCACTACTAAAGGACACCATTAAGAAGAAGAGACCTGCTTGGGTCAAGAAACACGAACAATGGACATTAGACCGGTGGAAATGTGTCATTTGGTCTGGAGTCCAAATTTGAGATTTTTGATTCCAACCGCCGTGTCTTTGTGAGACGCGTTGTGGGTGAACGGATTATCTCTGCATGTGTAGTTCCCACCATTAAGCATGGAGGAGGAGGTATTATGGTGTGGGGGTGCTATGCTGGTGACACTGTCTGAGATATATTTAGAATTCAAGGCACACTTAACCAGCATGGCTACCACAGCATTCTGCAGCAAATATATTTTGTTTAATACATTTTTGGTTACTACATGATTCCATATGTGTTATTTCATAGTTGGGATGTCTTCACTATTATTCTACAATGTAGAAAATAGTAAAAATAAAGAAAAACCCTTGAATGAGTAGGTGTGTCCAACCTTTTGACTGGTGCTGTATATATATATATATATATACACTACCGTTCAAAAGTTTGGGGTCACTTAGAAATGTCCTTGTTTTCGAAAGAAAAGCAATTTTTTTGTCCATTAAAATAACATAAAATTGATCAGAAATACAGTGTAGACATTGTTGTATACATGTTGTAAATGGCTATTGTAGCTGGAAACGGCTGATTTTTAATGGAATATCTACATAGGTGTACGGAGGCCCATTATCAGCAACCATCAGTCCTGTGTTCCAATGGCACGTTGTGTTTGCTAATCCAAGTTTATCATTTTAAAAGGCTAATTGATCATTAGAAAACCCTTTTGCAATTATGTTAGCACAGCTGAAAACTGTTGTGCTGATTAAAGAAGCAATAAAACTGACCTTCTTAAGACTAGTTGAGTATCTGGAGCATCAGCAATTGTGGGTTCGATTACAGGCTCAAAATGGCCAGAAACAAAGAACTTTCTTCTGAAACTCGTCAGTCTATTCTTGTTCTGAGAAATGAAGGCTATTCCATGCGAGAAATTGCCAAGAAACTGAAGATCTCGTACAACGCTGTGTACTAGTCCCTTCACAGAACAGCGCAAACGCTGGATGATGGAATCCGCAGTAAGGGAAACAGCGCCACTGTCCACCCCACGGCTGTTGTTATTGTTTTTTGTTTTGTTGACGAAGCAGAGCTGGGAGCGGCGAACATGGTGGTGAATGTAAAAAAAAAGACATATGCTCTTTTTCTATTACACGTGCAATGATGTCAGAGGGAAAAAAACTGTGTTCGTTTTTTGCAGTAACTTCTTTGCTGTTGTAATATTGCAAACAGATGTGGCAGTTTCACCATTAAGGATTCCAGCTTTAACTCTTATGTCTGAATGAGTGTATTTACTCATTTACTCGGGGTCAGGGTAATAATTCCATTTCATTTGAGTACTGAGTCCTGACTGCAAATCTGTCTGCTAGGGCATGACTTGAGAGTGTGTGTGTGTGTGCCTGTCTGTCTATCTGTCTGTCTATGTATGCGTGTATTCATGTGTGTATGTATGCATGTGTGTGTGTGTGTGTGTGTGTGTGTGTGTGTGTGTGTGTATATGTCTGTGTACCCATGGTTTCCAGAGCAGATGCAGCTGTCCCGGCTGTTGGAATGTGCCGAGGTCACTAGCTCTATTTCTGGAACCTGTGTTGTTCTAAAGGTCAGATAAAGTGGCTCGGAATCCTCACAAGGCAGGAGGGTGGCAGGGGGCATTCACTAACCAACACACACCAGACAACACTTTCAGAGAGAGAGACAGAGAGGTAGAGAGAGAGAGAGAGCGAGAGAGAGAGAGGGAGAGCAAAAGAGAGAGGGAGAGCGCAATAGAGAGAAAGAGAGAGCAAGAGAGAGATTTCTGCCTAGAACAGAACAGAGTCTAAACGGATTGTATGGAAGTTGGACATTTAATGTACATAGATATTGAGTGATCAGGAGTAATCCAATAACCTTGGAGAGAAAGAGTCTGATTTAACTTTATGTTTCAGAGGAAGTTGGACTAACAAACACAGAGTCCACGGAACCATGGATGATGTATCACTCCACCAGGAGGATTCTGGGAACGACCCAACAGCCAACCAGACAGAGGACAACAAAAACAATCAGGTGTGTTTGTGTTGATGAAGGAAATACACCCATAAACAGATACAGACAACCCCAAGACAATATGAATACAGAGACAAACCTCAACCACCTACAGACAAACCAATACAAACTTTTCTGTATCAAGACAAAGTCATATAGCCTTACTATGAGGTGGCAGGCTTGTTAGATGTATTTTGCGGTGTGGTCAGATGTAGTATTTGGAGCGAAGACAGTGGGAGGGGTTGGTGGTGGTTGTGGATGCCTGCGTGTAAACCTAAGTGCTGGGCTACACCTGTTCCTGTGTGATGAGGTGTGAATGACGGAGTCAGGCGCAGGAGGTAAAACACCGAAATCCAGAGTTTATTCAGTGTACATGAATAAAGCGCAGCAAGCGTCAAAACGAAACTAGCACAAGGGAAAAATCCAACTTGGCTATATACAAGGAAAGAGTAGCTCAACCGAGCTACCACTCTCACAAAGAACAATCACTCACAAAGGACAAGGGGGCAGAGAGAACACTTATACACAGACTAATGAGGGAATGAGTACCAGGTGTGTGTGATTGACAAGACAAGACAAGAAAAATGGTAATCAGGGGGGAGTAATAACCTATATGTGACCTCGTTGATTATTCTCAGGACTTTGAATGGCCCTACAAACCGTGGGCTCAGCTTCCGGCAGGGCAGGCGGAGGGGCAGATTCCGGGTCGAGAGCCAGACCCGATCCCCCGGTACAAAGACGGGGGCCTCACTGCGGTGACGGTCAGCGATGGCCTTCTGACGACGCACGGCGCGTTGGAGGTGAACATGGGCAGCGTTCCACGTCCCCTCCACGCGCCGAAACCAGTCATCCACCGCAGGAGCTTCGGTCTGGCTCTGGTGCCACGGTGCCAGAACCAGTTGGTAACCTAAAACACACTGAAATGGTGTTAGGTTCGTAGAGGAGTGGCGAAGAGAGTTCTGGGCATATTCTGCCCATGGCAGGAACACCGACCACTCCCCCGGCCGGTCCTGGAAATAGGACCTCAGGAACCTACCCACATCCTGATTTACCCGTTCCACCTGCCCATTACTCTCAGGGTGGAACCCAGAGGTCAGGCTGACCGAGACTCCCAGACGTTCCATGAACGCCTTCCAGACTTTTGACGTTAACTGGGGACCTCGGTCAGACACTATATCCTCTGGTACCCCGTGGTGCCGGAAGACGTGAGTAAACAGGGCCTCCGCAGTTTGCAGAGCCGTGGGGAGACCGGGCAGAGGAAGGAGGCTGCAGGCCTTCGAAAAGCGGTCCACAACGACCAGGATGGTGGTGTTCCCTTGAGCGAGAGGCAGATCAGTTTAAAAAATCAACACTCAAATGAGACCATGGTCGTTGTGGAACTGGTAAAGGTTTTACCCGCTGGGAGGTGCCTAGGTGCCTTACTCTGGGCGCACACTGAGCAGGAGGAAACATACACCCTCACGTCCTTAGCCAAGGTAGGCCACCAGTACTTTTCGGTCAGGCAGCGCACTGTACGACCGATACCTGGGTGACCAGAGGAGGGTGACGTGTGTGCCCAGTAGATCAGACGATCACGGATAAGCCCAGGCACGTACTGCAGCCCAGTTGGACACTGCGGTGGAGATGGATCTGTGCGTAATGCGCTATATCCGCGTCCATCGCACATACTACCGGCGCCACAATGCATGAGTCTGGCAGTATGGGGGTATTGTCTCTGGGCCTCTCCTCTGTATCATACAGCCGGGACAGTGCGTCTGCCTTCACGTTCTTCGTACCCGGAATGTATGACAGTGTAAAATCAAACCGGGTGAAGAATAGGGCCCACCTGGCCTGGCGAGGGTTCAGCCTCCTCGCTGCCCGGATGTACTCCAGGTTACGGTTGTCCGTCCAGACGAGGAATGGTGTTTCGCCCCCTCGAGCAAATGTCTCCACACGGTCAGAGCTCGGACAACAGCCAACAGCTCCCGATCACCAACGCCGTAGTTCTGCTCCGCCGGGCTGAGCTTCCTTGAGAAGAACGCACAGGGGCAGAGCTTGGGTGGCGTGCCCGAGCGTTGAGACAGGACAGCTCCCATCCCAACCTCGGACGCATCCACTACGAACGGTAGTGATGGATCGGGGTGGGCCAGTACCGGGCAGAGGGGAACAGTTCCCTCAGTTTACTGAAGGCCCTGTCAGCCTCAGCAGACCAGCGGAGCCGGGACGGCCCACCCTTCAACAGAGATGTAATGGGAGCTGCGACCTTGCCAAAGTCCCGGATAAACCTCCGATAATAGTTGGCGAAGCCAAGGAAGCGCTGCACCTCCTTTACCGTCGGCCAATTACGCACGGCTGCAATGCGGTCGCCCTCCATCTCCACACCTGTGGTAGAAATGCTGTATCCGAGGAAGGAGACGGACTGCTGGAAAAAAAACATACACTTTTCTGCCTTAGCATAAAGGTCATTTTCCAACAGTCGAACCAGGGACACATGCTCGGCGCGCGTAGCGGAATACACCAAGATGTAATCGATGTAGACCACTACACCGCGACCAAGCATGTCCCGAAACACCTCGTTCACAAAGGACTGGAAGACTGAGGGAGCATTCATCAAACCATAGGGCATCACCAGGTATTCATAATGCCCCGTGGTTGTGCTGAATGCTGTCTTCCACTCATCTCCCTCCTGCTCCTCGCATCAACCTAGTGGTGCGCGTCGCCAGTCCGGCCCGGCCTGTTCCTGCTCCTCGCACCAAGCCAGTGGTGCGTGTCGCCAGTCCGGCCCGGCCCGTTCCTGCTCCTCGCACCAAGCCAGTGGTGCATGTTCCTAGTCCGGTTCGGCCCGTGCCTGCTCCTCGCACCAGACCAGTGGTGAGTGTGTCCAGTCCGGCACAGCCCGTGCCCGTTCCACCGGTGCCTGATCCAGCTCCGGTCAGCTGCTCCAGTCCGGAGCCAGAGTAGTCCGCTCCACCGGTGCCTGATCCAGCTCCGGTCAGCTGCTCCACTCCGGAGCCAGAGCAGTCCACTCCACCGGGGTCCAGTCCAGCTCCGGTCAGCGGCTCCACTCCGGAGCCAGAGCAGTCCACTCCACCGGTGCCTGATCCAGCTCCGGTCAGCGGCTCCACTCCGGAGCCAGAGCAGTCCGCTCCACCGGGGTCCAGTCCAGATCCGGTCAGCGGCTCCACTCCGGAGCCAGAGCAGTCCGCTCCACCGGTGCCCAGTCCAGCTTCGGTCAGCGGCTCCAGTCCGGAGCCTGAGCAGTCCGCTCCAGTCAGCGGCTCCAGTCCAGACCCAGACGTCAGCCCCTCTCCAGGTTCGGGGTCTCCCACACCAGGGTCCAGACAGGGCTTGGAGTATAGTGGGAGGAAGGAGAGGGGAAGCAGCGCGCCGAGGTCCAGACCAGACCAGGGGCGCAACAGGGAGGCGGAGAATAGGTGGTTGTCACGCCCGGAGCCGACCCTGTTAAGTAAAGGTTGTGCGGTCGGAGTCCGCACCTTTGGGGGGGGGGGGGGGGGGGGGGGGGGGGGGGGGGGAGATTGGGGAGCATACTTAGGCAGCCTATTGGCAATTAGGTGTTGTGTTGTTCCGTGGTGGAGGCTTGTATTGTTTGTTAGCCTTAGGACGTCACGTTTAGTTTGTTTATTGTTTTGTCGTTGTGTTTATTCGTTAAATAAACATGTATGCATATCACGCTGCGCCTTGGTCTGACCCGTCTGTGAACGAACGTGACAATGACGGAGTCAGGCGCAGGAGGTAAAACACCGAAATCCAGAGTTTATTCAGTGTACATGAATAAAGCGCAGCAAGCGTCAAAACGAAACTAGCACAAGGGAAAAATCCACCTTTGCTACATACAAGGAAAGAGTAGCTCACTCTCACAAAGAACAATCACTCACAAAGGACAAGGGGGCAGAGGGAACACTTATACACAGACTAATGAGGGAATGAATACCAGGTGTGTGTGATTGACAAGACACCCTGAGTCATGACCTGGAGTGACACCTGGGACAGTTCCTGAAGTTCACTTACCTAACATAATTCCAACATACTGTATTATCTGCAACTTTACACATCTTAATGCATAACATAAAGCAACATAAACCTGTAATATGTTTGAATCGTAATTAAAGCCATAAAAACTCTACAGCCGAAGGTGTGTGTTCGGAGTGCCAAAGTAACTATGGGGATTCCCTGGAGTGAAGCAGACACATTTTATATTTGAGTTCTGAACTAGTTATAATGTCACTTTACATCTTCTCTCCCCTCAACAACTGATTTAGAATCAGGTCTATGACAACAGTTCTGGGTTTCACCATTTTGGTTTGTCCCTAACCCTAACCAAAACTATCTCAAGTGCTCAGAATAACCAATTGTAATCTTATCTGGTTTGTCTCTCAGACAGAGGAAGAGGCTTCAGTGCAGGAGTGTGACCCCCCTAAGAGAGACCACCTGGCGGAGGACACAGTGGAAGGTCATGGGGTTAAGTCTGGGGCTAATACGGCTAAAGCTCCAGAACAGGCAGCAGGGGCTAGCATTGGAAATGTAGAGGAGTCTCAGCCAGTAACCGACGCCAATGAGGTAAATGGTGAAGAAGCTTGTAAGGGTGAGGAGGGGCCGTCTCAAGGTGCAGACACCGGAGAAACAGAAGACCCCAAAGTGGTGAACGGAGAGAAGAAGGGGGAGGGAGAGAATGAGGAGGACAAGAATAGAAAGGGGCAAGAGGTGGTCAAGAATGGAGATATTGAGAAAGAGGATATGAAAGAGGACAAAGAGAAGGGGGGAGAAAATATTGCCAGGAAAAAGGGGAAGGGGGAAAAGATAGGAGAGGGAAAAAACCAGAAAGAGAAGAAGACAAAGGAGTAACTGAAGGAGAAGGGGAAAGACAGAAACGTAAAAGGCAGGGAAGAGAGAGGGAGGGAAGGGAGAGGGGAGGGAAGAGAGAGGGAGGGAAGAGAGAGGGAGGGAAGGGAGAGGCAGGGAAGGGAGAGGGAGGAGGGGAGAGGAGAGAAGGGAGAGGGGAGGGAAGGGAGCGGCAGGGAAAGAGAGAGGGAGGGAAGGGAGCGGCCCAGGGAAGGAGGAGGGAGGGAAGGGAGAGGGAGGGAAGGGGAGGCAGGGACGGGAGAGGGAGGGAAGGAGGCGGGAGGGAAGAGAGAGGGAGGGAAGGAGAGAGGGAGGGAAGAGAGAGGGGAGGGAATTGGGAGAGAGGAGCGAAGGGAGAGGCAGGGGAAGGGAGAAGGAGGGAGAAGGAGACGGGAGGGAAGGGAGGGAGGAGAGGCAGGGAAGGGAGAGGGAGGGAAGGAGAGGAGGGAAGGGAGGAGGGAGGGAAGGGAGAGGGCGGGAAGGGAGAGGGAGGGAAGGGAGGGAGGGAGAGGAGGGAGGGAGGGAGGGAGGAAGGGAGAGGGAGGGAAGGAGAGGGGAAGGGAGGGAAGGGAAGAGAGGGAGGGAAGGGAGAGGGAGGGAAGGGAGAGGGAGGGAAGGGAGAGGCAGGGAAGGGAGAGGGAGGGAAGGGAGAGGGAGGGAAGGGAGAGGGAGGGAAGGGAGAGGCAGGGAAGGGAAGAGGCAGGAGGAGAGGCCAGGGAAAGAAGGGAAAGGCGCCAGAGAAAGAGGCAAACAGTAAAAGAAAAGGAAGGGGCAGGAGGAGGAAAGGTTAAAGAGAAAAGCAAGGACTGGGAGAAGCAAGGGAAGACAAAAAGAAAGAGTGGCGTGAGTCCCACCACCTCTTCCCCATCCTCTGTGGCCCGACCACGGAACTCTGCCCGCTCTGGCCGGGCATCCACTAAAAATGACATCATAGCAAAGTTCCAGCAAAATGCCCCTGAGTAAGTTCTGACATGTTCAATATGACAAAATGCAACATGCTCATGTTTAATGTTTTTAAATAGCGATAATTGTATTGTCTTTTCACTTATTTTCAGGACACCGGTTGTCCGCAACTTCAAACTTCAGAGATCATCTATGGCTGTGGCAAACGGGGCGACAATCAAACAGAAAGTGCTTTCATGGTGTCAAAACAAAACCCGCAAATACGAGGTGAGGGGATATTCATGATCATGTGCACCAGAGGTACTGACATTGGAGCTCCATAACCCTGCCTGACACCCTACCCTCTCTTTCCCAGGGTGTTTCCATTGAGAACTTCTCATCATCATGGTGTGATGGGCTGGCATTCTGTGCGCTCATCCATCGCTTCTTCCCGGACGCTTTTGACTTCTCAGCCCTGAGCTCATCTGAGAGAGAGAAGAACTTCACCCTGGCCTTCAACACAGCAGAGTACGAAGCTGTGTGTATGTGTGTGTGTGTGTGTGTGTGTGTGTGTGTGTGTGTGTATGTATGTGTTTGTGTCTGAGTGTGTGTGTTGTAAATTATTCATCATCCTTTCTTTCTCTCTCCCTCCATATCTCTTCCCCCCCCCCCCCCCCCCCCTCTCTCTCTCTCTCTCTCTCTCTCTCTCTCTCTCTCTCTCTCTCTCTCTCTCTCTCTCTCTCTAAGGACCATGGCTGACTGCTGCCCTCTGTTGGAGGTTGGTGATATGATCCTGATGGGGAACAGCCCGGACCCTATGTGTGTGTTCACCTATGTCCAGGCCCTCTGTCAACACCTCTCCAAAATAGAGAAGGAGAGGAAGGACAAGGAAGAAGAGGAGGAGAAGAGTGAAAAGATGAAAGATGGAGAGGTAGAAACCACTACAGAGAAGAAAGAGGAGATTGAGGAAACTGGGAAGATAGATGGTCAACAAGAGGAGGAGGATGGGGAGAACGAAGTCAAATATGGGAAAGAGAAAGAGAGTGAGAAGAGATCAGCGGTGGAGGGAGATGAAGAGAAAGAGAGTGAGGAAAGAGAAGTTGGAGGGTTAATTGAAGCACAGGCTTAAGCTAATGCTAAAAGGACATGGAAAAGACCAAATGAGTGAGATTCAGAGAGATAAATAAATACTTTTCAATTGAGCCACATGATGAAGTATAGTTTTACAGTTTGGAATACGACTAGTGTTTAGCGTGTATGAGCATAATTTCTTAAAGAGTGACACATTACTACTGTATATTCAAAAGCTGGCTTTGTGATGGTTTGGAATTATTCTCAGATTCCAACAATGTGTGTAAATTATAACCTGTTGTGATATTTTAAACAATATTTAACACATGCTGTGTTCTTTTCCAATTTCATTATCATGTTGTGGAAGTTTGTGATAAATAAAATGTCAATGTATATTATAATGCATTCTTTTGATTCATTTTTCAGAAAGACAACCTATGTATGTTTTTATTATGGGTAAAGTTATTAAGTACGCCTGCACTGCTGGCCTAATAATGATTCAATAGGCCCTTGGGTTCATGATGATCTATCTTGAATAAAAATAAACGATTTATGACAATTGTGATAATATTCATTAACAGATAGTCTTGGAATATAACAATTACACTCTTATTCCATTCACTGAGCATTATTGTGAGTTATGAGACTTCCCATCAAGACATGACATTCCAACATCACCTAAGTCAGATATTCCCTTTGTTTGTCAGAGGGCGATATTAACTTTCCGTGACAGAATCCTTGCTAGAAAAAGGGGCCTGTCAATACAAATTGCACTAGTTGACTGATTACATTTTGCTGTTACAATTAACTAACGATCATGAATTCTAATTTCCAGTCACGAGCAAAGATACGTCTGAAGACACAGTGCCTTCAGAAAGTATTCACACCCCTTGGCTTTTACCACATTTTGTTATGTTAAAAAATATTTCATTGTCATTTTTGATTCAATAATCTACACAAAATATTCTGTAATGTCAAAGTGGAAGAAAAATTGTAACATTTGTAAAGAATGTATTGAAAAATAAAAGACTAATATACACTTTATATACAAAAGTATGTGGACACCCCTTAAAATGTGTGGATTCAGTTATTACAGCCACACCCATTGCTGACAGGTGTATAAAATCGAGCACTCAGCCATTTATTCTCCATAGACAAACATTGGCAGTAGAATGGCCTTACTGAAGAGCTCAGTGACTTTCAATGTGGCACCATCATAGAATACCACCTTTCCAACAAGTCAGTTCGTCAAATGTCTGCCCTGCTAGAGCTGCCCGGTCAACTGTAAGTGCTGTTATTTTGAAGTGGAAACGTCTAGGAGCAACAACGGCTCAGCCGCGAAGTGGTAGGCCACACAAGCTCACAGAACGGGACCGCCGAGTGCTGAAGCGCGTCTGTCTTCGGTTGCAACACTCACTACCAAGTTCCAAACTGCCTCTGGAAGCAACGTCAGCACAAGAACTGTTCGTCGGGAGCTTCATGAAATGGGTTTCCATGGCCGAGCAGCCGCACACAAGCCTAATATCACCATGCGCAATGCCAAGCGTTGGCTGGAGTGGTGTAAAGTGTGCCGCCATTGGACTTTGGAGCAGTGGAAACACGTTTTCTGGAGTGATGAATCTTAACGATACAGCATACAATGACATTCTAGATGATTCTGTGCTTCCAACTTTGTGGCAACAGTTTGGGGAAGGCCCTTTCCTGTTTCAGCATGACAATGCCCCTGTGCACAAAGCGAGGTCCATACAGTAATGGTTTGTCGAGATCGGTGTGGAAGAACTTGACTGGCCTGCACAGAGCCCTGACCTCAACCCCATCGAACACCTTTGGGATGAATTGGAATGCCGACTGCGAGCCAGGCCTAATCGCCCAACATCAGTGCCCGACCTCACTAATGCTCTTGCGGCTGAATGAAAGCAAGTCCCCGCAGCAATGTTCCAACATCTAGAGGAAAGCCTTCCCAGAAGAGTGGAGGCTGTTATAGCAGTAAAGGGGGTACCAACTCCATGTTAATGTCCATGATTTTGGAATTAGATGTTTGACGAGCATGTGTCCACATACTTTTGGTAATGTAGTGTATCTTGATTAGATAAGTATTCAACCCCCTGAGTCAATACATGTTAGAATCACCTTTGGCAGCGACTACAGCTATGAGTCTTTCTGGGTAAGTCTCTAAGAGCTTTGCATACCTGGATTGTACAATATTTGCACAATATTCTTTTAAAAATTCTTCAAGCTCTGTCAAGTTGGTTGTTGATCATTGCTAGACAGCCATTTTAAGTCTTGCCATAGATTTTCAAGCTGATTTAAGTCAGAACTGTAACTAGGCCAATCCGGAACATTCAATGTCACCTTGGTAAGCAACTCCAGTGTATATTTGGCCTTGTGTTTTAGGTTATTGTCCTGCTGAAAGGGGAATTTGTCTCCCAGTGTCGAAAGTAGACTGAACTGGGTTTTCCTCTAGGATTTTGCCTGTGCTTAGCTCTATTACGTTTATTTTTATCATAAAAAACTCCCTAGTCCTTGCTGATGACAAGCACACCCATAACATGATGCAGCCACCACCATGCAGAGTGTATGAAGAGTGATACTCAGTGATGTGATGTGTTCATGATGTGTTGTTTTGGATTTGCCTCAAACATAATGCTTTGTAGTTAGAACAGTTCATTTCTTTGCCACATTGTTTGCAGTTTTAATTTAGTTCCTAATTTCAAACAGGATGCATTTTGGGGAATATTTTTTTTCTGTACAGGTTTCCTCCTTTTCACTCTGTCAATTAGGTTAGTATTGTGGAGTAACTACAATGTTGCTGATCTATCTTCAGTTTTCTCCTATCACAGCCATTTAACTGTTTCAAAATCACCATTGGTCGCATGTTGAAATCCCTGAGAGGTTTCCTTCCTCTCAGGCAACTGGGTTAGGAACGACGCCTGTATCTTTGTAGTGACTCAAAGGGATAATCTATGTCTGCTTTTTTTAGTTGTTTATTTACCCATATACCAATAGGTGCCCTTCTTTGTGAGGCATTGGAAAACCTCTCTGGTCTTTGTGGTTGAATCTGTGGTTGAAATTCACTGCTCAACTGAGAGATCTTACCGAAAATTGTATGTGTGCGGTACAGAGATGAGGTAGTTGTTCAAAAATCATGTTAAACACTATTATTGCACACAGAGTGAGTCCATGCAACTTATTATGTGACTTGTTAAGAAAATGTTTACTCCTGAACTTATTTAGGCTTGCCATAACAAAGGGTTTGAATACTTATTGACTCAAGACATTTCAGCTTTTCGTTTTTAATTAATTTGCTAAAATTCCACTTTGACATTAAGGGGTATTGTGTGTGGGCCAGTGAAAAAAAAATATATTTAATCAATTTTAAATTCAGGCTGTAAGACAAAAAAATGTCAAGGGCTGTGAATCCTTTCTGAAGGCACTGTACGTATTCATTTGTGGTGCTAGTCCTCCCAAAAAAAGGCGGCGGAGGTCTTCTTATAATTACGGCCAGGACTGCTTTATTCACCGGAAGTAGTTTTGTGTACTCTGACAAACACGTCACAGCTTGTCTGATCAATTATCTGATTTTTTTCAAATTTCTCCTTCTGTCTTTTATCTCGCCGCTGGTATCGATGTCAACAAAAATGCAGGCTCGTTTGTCTTTACAGACACAACTCGCTTCCATAATGGACGTGCTTGCTAGAGCGGCCGTTGCCGAGATCAGTCAACTCTTTTCTGAGAGCTCGGCTGATTTGCACTTGGAGATTTCTCGCAGCTACAAAGACAACGAAGCGCTGAAGAAGAAGATGAAGGGGATGAAGAGCGAGCTTTTCTCCCTGCGGCTACAACGGGCGAGTACACCGCGGGGCAGTCGTTTTTCTTTCGGCAGAACTTGCTGCAGGCCTCGGGCAAAACTCACAGGTTGGTTCAGGTTCTCGAAATGCTGCTAGCTGGGCGACCAGTCAATTGATCATAGTATGTTGGAAGGGGAATGGTTTTTGACCTTTGCTCTTACTCATAGATAAGACACCTGAGCGCCATGCGGCTGTTAACAGCAGGGATGATGCTTCTATTACATCCACAGTCAAAAAAGAGGTGTGGCAATAATAGCTCATCACACATTTCTGACATAGGCTACTACTACTATATAAATATTTACATGTCTGACTGACTGTGTAAATGTGTGACTGTTTTATGGTTCAGTGTGCAGTTGTGGAGAGTCCAGATGTCATCTTGATAAAGAAGGAGGAGGGAGCTGAGGATGACTTTGGAGGATGTGGGCCAGATGCAGGTGTGTGGAGGAGGAAGAAGATGATGGGATGGTATATAGACAATTGACAACCAGATAACTAACAGATTACATTATAATTTTGTTTTCTGTAGGTCATGACGATATTGGTGGTGAGACTATTGCCATGGTGACTCCACAGCTGGAACATGTCACCCAGAGACTAGGTCAGGATGAAGGACCGTACAGCATGAGTGCTCATGGTCGAGGTGAAGGAGCTCTGTGCAGCGTGAGCGGGTACTGAGAACTACCCTTTCTTCAGAGCCCCAGAACTGCCCCAGAGATTGCCCTCACACTCTAGTCTGCTGTCTGACCACACTGTCAACCATCAGATACAGCTGAACACTCATTCTATTGGGGAACCACTGCCAGGCAACCCTCCAATGAGGGGGGTGCAAAGTGACAGAGGGGGTCTGCCGACAGGGGATACAGGAGGACGGGGTCTGAAAATCATCCAGGTAGCTTCCCTAGAAAGCACCCCAACGACCCCAACAACAACCTTGGCAACAGGGGGTGCGACTGTGAGGCGCCCTAGTCTTGTAAACCAGTTCCAGCGCCACCACGTACCCCACAGTACCAAGCCATTGCTCTGTAGCGACTGTGGGAAGCGCTTCTCTCGCCGGCTTGACTTGATCCGCCACCGGGCGGTCCACACAGGAGAGACGCCTGTCATATGCAACCTGTGCGGGAACTCGTTTGTCAACAAGACAACTCTGAGGGTCCATATGCGCATCCACACAGGGGAGAAACCGTACATGTGTTCCCTGTGTGGGAAGGGCTTCACCCAGAAAGGCAGTCTGACCATCCACCTGAGGACCCACTCTGGGGAGAAACCCTACAGCTGCTCCCACTGTGGAGCCTCATTCAACAACCACAGCAACCTGCGCAGACATATGGTCACACACCTAGAGCAGGCAGGGACGCTGACACTCTGATACATACACACTACCTCCCCGGTGGAGCTTTGGGTTCTTTCTTTCTTCAGCTCTCTCATTCTCTCTCTGACTGTATTCCTCTTGTTGTCTCACTTAGCCCCAGACTCTTCATTCCCTGTCTCCCATCTTCTTCTCTCTTTCTCTCCTCCACAGTTGTCCCCCTTTCTGTTGTCTATGTCTCTGATCTAGATGCACATACTACTTAAAGTGGCAATCAGCTGTTGAAACAATAACGGTGAACTCCCCGCCCCTGTTTCATTAAAAGGCTGAGGGATGGGGCTGGAGAAATGGAACCACTCTCAAATTCATAGACAGAGCTATGGATGCAAGGACTGACCATCCATCATATCAAAATGATAGTTTTAACCATGTTTTGAGGCTGTATAGTGTTAGTTTACATTTACTTTGTCTATAAACATTGGCGTAAAAACAAGCTTACAGTGCATTCGGAAAGTATTCAGACCCCTTGACTTTTCCCACATTTTGTTATGTTACAGCCTTATTCTAAAATTGATTTAATTGTTTTTTTCCCCCCTCATCAATCTACACACAATACCCCATAATGACAAAGCAAAAACAGGTTTTTAGACATTTTTAGGGTCGTTGTCCTGTTGGAAGGTGAACCTTCGCCTAGTCTGAGGTCCTGAGTGCTCTGGAGCAGGTTTTCATCAAGGATTTCTCTATACTTTACTCCGTTCATCTTTACCTCGATCCTGACTAGTCTCCCAGTCCCTGCTGCTGAAAAACATCCCCACAGCATGATGCTGCCACCACCATGCTTCACCGTAGGGATGGTGCCAGGTTTCGTCCAGACGTGACGCTTGGCATTCAGGCCAAAGAGTTTAATCTTGGTTTCATCAGACCTGAGAATCTTGTTTCTCATGGTCTGAGAGTCTTTAGGTGTATTTTGGCAAACTACAAGCAGGCTGTCGTGCCTTTTACTGAGGAGTGGCTTCCATCTGGCCACTCTATCATAAAGGCCTGATTGGTGGAGTGCTGCAGAGATGGTTGTCCTTCTGGAAGGTTCTCCCATCTCCTCAGAGGAACTCTAGAGCTCTGTCAGAGTGACCATTGGGTTCTTGGTCACCTCCCTGACCAAGGCCCTTCTCCCCCGATTGCTCAGTTTGCCCAGGCGGCCAGCTCTAGGAAGAGTATTGGTGGTTCCAAACTTCTTCCATTTAAGAATGATGGCGGCCACTGTGTTCTTGGGGACCTTCAATGCTGCAAAAATTGTTTGGTACGCTTCCCCAGATCTGTGCCTTGACACAATCCTGTCTCGGAGCTCTACGGACAATTCCTTCGACCTCATGGCTTGGTTTTTGCTCTGACATGCACTGTCACCTGTGGGACCTTATATAGACAGGTGTGTGCCTTTCCAAATCATGTTGAATCAATGTAATTTACCACAGGTGGACTCCAATCAAGTTGTAGAAACATCTCAAGGATGATCAATGGAAACCGGATGCACCTGAGCTCAATTTTGAGTCTTATAGCAAAGGTTCTGAATACTTATGTAAATAAAGTATTTCTGTTTTTTATTTTTACTAAATTTGCTAAAATTTATAAAAACCTGTTTTTCGCTATGTCATTATGGGGTATTGTGTATAGATTGATGAGGAAAAAATAATGTAATCCATTTTAGAATAAGGCTGTAATGTAACAAAATGTGGAAAAAGTCAAGGGGTCTGAATACTTTCCGAATGCACTGTATATTTTGGGTTCTGATGGGGTGGACAGTTGAACTAAGCTCATGGGGCTCATAAGTTATATTCTTCAAGAATCAATGGGTACATATCATTAATTTATAAGTCAAAAAAATGGATGTAGCAACTGCAGATTTCTCCTTGAAAGTTACTGTACAGCTAGTTTCAGTAAGTAGCCTACTCTGGCCCAAATGAATAAACGGTGTGTTTTGATATGAAGGAATGAATGAACAAATGCTTTTTTCGAACTCACTGGCTGCACCATAGTTGTTTATCGTTTTTTCCTTGAGTGCAGCATTGCCTTCTCTTCGCAATCTTGTACAGTGTGGGTTTTTAATCTAGAGATTCTTCACTATCGCGGGGGTCTCTTCAGGAAATTGGCCATTTGACATAAAGCTTCCACAGTCCTTTTAAGGCAAATAGCAGAGCATGAGGCAGACTTTGCCAGCTGTTTGATCTAAAAGCTTGTCTAAAAGCATCAGAAGGATATAAAGGACAATTTGGACCAAGTAATTGCAGCTGATTATCCTACTAGGAGGCAGACAGTGCCAGCGACAGACAGCCTACTGATGCTGTCATCCACCTAAACAGGGAGACAAATACTGTATTGGCAGCATATGATTAAACTCCAGTTTTATGGTTTTCTGTTTGCATGTGTCAGAGCTTAGTGTGTTAATGTGGAATGCTAATGCATTATTGTGGATTACTGTTCAACTTCAATTTATTGTTCTGAGGCAATCAATGGGATGATATCAGAGGTATGTGTGTGTTTGGATGGGGGACTGGGAGGAGAGGCCAGGGACATTCCTTCAACATCAACCCTTGAACCAACCCAATTGAATATATATATATATATATATATGATTATTTTTTATGTTCATTCAGTTGGATATTTGTGGAGAAGTTCATTTCTATTGTGCTGTGTGATGCTGAATGTTCATTCTGTAGCTGAAGACACCATTACTAGGGCGGGAATGATATAGGCTAACTGTTATCCGTAATTACGGTAAAATCCATCCTTTATGCCCGCCCTCCCCCCCCGGCCTATCTATTCATCTTTGCTCCCACCGTGCTTGACCGAGAAACCAGAAAGAAGGAGGAGAAAAGGTGGATAAAGTGAAGAAAATAAATACGTTGGGAAGGGACAGGGAATACGAGACGTATAGGTAAGTAAAATAAAACATACAAGCGGATTGATGGGATCATTTGACAGTTTTACTTTAGTTCGCAAACCGCAGCGTCGGCAAGGAGTGGTCAACTGGGGCACAGATCACGACTTTTCCACTGCCCGTGTGAGTGATTGTGGTTAAAACGCCCAAATTCCGCTCAGCACGGATAGCCAGCTTTACGCCTGTCTAGTAGGCCAGTGTCTCCACCATAAGTAGAGGTGGAGGACCTGTTATCTGTTTACCTGTTTGTTTAAATTGAAACACAAGACTCTTCGCTGTTTTAGCAACTAACGTTAGCTAGCTTGCGCTATTGTAGCTACGTCAAGCTAACTAGCGCGGCTACGCGTAAAGAAATGGTTAGCCAAACAAGCTAGCTAACTGGTCAAGCAACCAAAACTAGCCGAGAGTTTTAGAAACATGCTGCACCCTTGCAATTCAAAACTGACCAGCTAACTAACGTTTCCATTGTTTTGTTAGCTAGTTGAAATTGCAGCTAAATTAGCTAGCTAGCCACCGTTGAATATGCCATGCATCGATTGATCTTTTGTTTGAATTTTACATTATCCTTGCTTCAATCGACCTCAGTCAAATTACAATTTGAGCAAAATAACATCTTTAGCTAGCAGTTTAGCATGATTCTTCGTAGGAATGTGCTTTCTGGTTAATGTTAGGGAGGGTAAAATAAACATTACTTTTAGAACTATCAATGATACAACAGACTCTCAGAAGCACTTTGTTTAATGTCTGTAGGCCTTACCATTGCTGACAAATTACAAATTGTGTGTCCGAATTCTGGGTCAAAAGGTCGCGGGAGATAATGCACAGGTCACGATGGCAATTCCTTTTCCAAAAATTGCACCAAAATTACAGGTGGACTCAAATGAATAAACAAACTCAAATATCTCAAGATATGAATGTCCTATCAACATTACATTTTCAAGGGGTTATACAATAGTGAGCATGTTAAAATGAAATATAATTGTGTGAATGCCAATTGTTTTTAATATATGTGCATATTTCATGTTGTACGCCAGAAATCATTGATAAATGAATACCCCCCTCAAAGTTATTTATTTTGATGTACTAATGCAATTATGCTGTGTTCAAGTCATGTTGGAAATTTGGAAATGTCCGACTTGCTAACCTAGGAGGAAGAGTCTGATCCCAAGTTTCCCACTTGCATTCATTTTAATTCTGAGGTCTCATACAGGCAGATGTCATTACAGTAGGTGCATATCTTAAGTTCCATAGTGAACATGCAAATAATACAGGCCTATTAATATCAAACAAAAACAGAATGAGCATCTGTACTTTTCACACAACCAATGAACTGTGTGTGTGTGTGTAACATTATATACAGACTAATTGGTCAGAAGAGGTAGATGTGGCATCCAGACAAGCTAGGTACGTGTTAAAGGGAAATCAAAAAAAAAATCAACTTCACATTCATAATCTCCAGCAGAACATCATTGTGAAAATGGCAGGTTTCTATGTTTTGTTGTGAAAAAGACAGAGGAAGATAACGGTTTCCAATGACATCAACCAATTAGTAGGCAATGCCTACTCATAATTGGTTAAAATCACACGATGCACACCGATGTCATTGTAAAAACGTAACTGCCTCTATCTTAATTTTTTTATACTACAGAACATAGAAACGCACACAGTTTTCACATGTTGGGGTGGTGCTGGAGATGAATATGGAGCTGACACTTTTTTTTATTTTTATATTTCACCTTTATTTAACCAGGTAAGCCAGTTGAGAACAAGTTCTCATTTACAACTGCGACCTGGCCAAGAGAGAGCATTTTTTGAAATGTCCCTTTAAACATGGGGAGAATATCAAACAAAACAGAATGAGCATCTCTCACACAACAACCAATAGTGTGTGTGAGAGAGAGATGACATTTGATGGTTCCAATGTAGACTACGATGAGAGTTTTAAGCTCTGAGCATAATGATCATGGGCTCACATTACCTTGACATCTGTCCCACCTTTTACCCCTCCCTCACATAGACTTAGACTAGTGTGTGTGTTATACTTACAGTATAACAGATTAATTGGTCAAAAGAGGGGTAGAAGAGGCCACCCAGACGAACAAGATATGTTAAACATGGAGAGAATAAA